CCACCCCACCACGGCACACAAGCTCTTGCCATTTTCTTGTTAGATCATTGAACGATATTATTGAAATATTTGTTCCATATTTTAAAAAAAATATATTATCAAAAAATGAGTATTTGTTAGAGTCGACTGTAATTATTAAGTTTATTTATTAAAATACCATAACCTGCTCAATAATACTCACTTCATTTCATGTTATAAGTCATTTTGATTTTTTAAGTTAAGTTTCTTAAGAGTTTATAACTAAGCTTATAGAGAAACATAACAATATTTATAGCACCAATTAGTTTCAATGCATCTAACATTGAATATATGTTGATAGATTTTTGTTTTATGTTGAAATTATTATTATAGTTTTCTATGAAACTTAGTTAAATCTAAAGAAAACTGAATTAAAACAAATTAAAACGACTTGTTACGTGAATCAGAGGTAGTATAAAACAACTAGTCCTGTCAGCGTCATTTTGGCTCTACACCCCATGAGTGGTTTTCTTGACCAGTACTTTTTACTTTACCTCTGGTTGAAACGTTCCTAACGACGCCGGCCATTTTGACCAGCACTGACGAGATGAACCAACTTAAGGCCCGCTTTCTTTCAATTTGAGATTATTATAATCCAGATTATTGAGAGTAAGCTGAGAAAAACAGACAACTTATTAAAATAGCTTATTATAATCTGGAATCCAGCTTATTATAATCTGATAAACTCATTTAGGTGAGCTTTTTTCTAAATTATTGGGTGAAAAATTACCCACCATGCTACCCCACTCTCTCTTTAGACTTGCAAACCCAATAATCTAGGCTCTAATAATCTAGAAAAGAAACAACTAACCGTTTAATCTACTACAGATTATAACAATCTAGTTTATAGTAATCTGACTTAATAATCTAGATTATAATAAACCCAAACTGAAAGAAACATGGCCTTATTAATTAACGCGTACAGATTTTTGTTTGAACGAAACAAGAGACCTGAAAATGGAGCTAACTGCTGTTAACCTACGTAAGCCTGTTCCAAATTAACCATATGGTACTAGCACTAAATTAATAACCTATCGACGTGTTTTCTTTTCCCTAAAAGAAAAAAGAAAAGCAAGCTATCATCATCAGTGATCGATGGATGCCACGCCAATGCAAGCATGCATGCGTGATCGATCGATCGATCCGAGATGCCTATCTGAATTGAACCCGGGGAGAGCTTTAACCAAATCCTGTCGCCTTCAAGCTGCTGCCTAAAGCTACCGCACATTCGATCGAATACGGAATACTAACCCAAGCGAAAGAAGGTGAAGCCCAGGGCGATCGATCGATCGATCAACGATCTACCTCTCCTTTCCGGCCTATCCATCATGCCTACCACTTGGACACAAGGGGAAAAAATTCCATTGCTTTGCTTTAATTGCCTTTTCCTCGTCTTCTTCTTCGTCTTGGTCTTCTTTTTGGTATCTGATGAGGTTTTCTTCCATGGTGCTCGAGATTATATATACATATATGTAGTATAAATTAATGTAGGATATATATATACTTGGACAAATTAAAGCAGCATGCATGAGTGAGAGCTTAGAATTAATGGCCCAGGTCACACGGCACTTGGGAGGCGAGTGATTGATCGGTGCGATGCGTGGTGGATCGTTGGTGCGTGTGATCTGATCTGATCTGAAACCTGGAGGGGATTGATTGGGTGTAGCGTGTAGTGTACCGACATGATAGTCACTGTACGAGGTTGAGTTTGATCGGTTAATTCGTTGGGATTATTGCTAGTGAGTACTCACTCCGTTTCAAAATGTTTGACACCGTTGACTTTTTAGTATGTATTTAACCATTTGTTTTATTAAAAAAAATTTAAGTAATTATTTATTCTTTTCATACATTTGATTTATTGTTAAATATACTTTCATGTACACATGTAGTTTTACATATTTCATAAATTTTTTAATAAGATGAACGGTCAAAGATGTGCTAAAAAGTCAACGGTGTCAAACATTTTAAAAAGGATGGAATTAAGTTGTTGAGTACTCGATCTAGTGCGGTCCTGGGAGGATTGCTTCAATATTCTTTGTGATTTCTGTGGGGTTTTGCACTGCTCTTTTCTGTAGGTTATCATCATGTTCATGTGGCTAGGCCGTGATCTCGCCGGCGGCTTGCCGGAGCTCGGCCGGCCGGCGTCACCGACATGAGCCGCTCTGTGTAGTGACGTTTCAGCCGGCGGAGGTGGTTTTGGTTTGGGGCAAATGAAAACTCATGGTCGGATGGTCCGATTGGGAAATTTGGCCCGTCTGGGTTCTGGATAGTTGGGCCACCCTCAATCCTTCATGGGCCTTATGACTCCTAGGGCAGCATATTGGGCCGGAAAGGCGTAGTATCTGGAACATGGGCTATATCATCCACAGAACTCGACCACCGAAACATTGGGCCTGTATGGGCGTTAGATCTCAATCCGTACACTTTACATTTTTGTCCCATAAATTTTGTACTCCCACCGTCCCAAATAAAAAACTAAAAATAACCCAGTAGGATGTGACACCACCTAAAACAACGAATTTTAACAAAAGATTCAATAATTTTTTAGGAAAATCGTAAAAATCATCCAATAAGACGCTAGAAATTTGATATTCCACCGCATAAATCATTTTATTGCATATGCCCACCACTTACTTAATTTTATTGTAAAAACCACCCCAGTGCGCATGTGCTTAATTGAATCAGCCCATTATCGTTGATGTAGAGCCACCACAGACTAAGCTAACTGAGTCAATCTTATTCAAGTGCTTATATTAGACTCTTTTTTTTCATGTTTCATTGAATTTTCTTTCATATAGCGAAACTCAGTGCGACAACGTTTAAGCTTTTATCAACAATTCTATTTGTGGTATCTCCAAAAAAAAAAAGGGTCAAGATTACACTCTTAGAAGTATTTAATTTTGGTAAATACCACATTAATAGCTCACAATTTTATAAAAATATATTGATTCAGCTAAGCACGCGCGTACTAGCGTGGTTTTTACAACAAAACTAAGTAGGTAGATGGACGTTTGTAACAAAATAACTTATAGAGTGAAATGCCAAACTTTAAGTAACTTCTGGTGTGGTTTTTGTAATTTTACAGTTTTTCCAATGTTTCATAATATAAAGCGCGCATGCATACATGCAATTTACTAGCACTCCCCTCCTCTTTAATTTATTTTCTTTAATCCTCCATACACAATATCTCTAATTTTTTTGGTGTATTTAGGGTGTGTTTGAGGAGATTGGGAAGATACGCAAAATGAGATGAGCCATTAGCTCATGATTAATTGAGTATTAACTATTTTAAATTTAAAAAATGGATTAATATGCTTTTTTAAGGCAACTTTCCTATAGAATTTTTTTTTGCAAAAAACGCACCGTTGAGTAGTTTGGGAAGCGTACGCGTGGAAAACGATGTACTTTCTCCCTCAATGTCACCCGAACGAACGCTGCTAGCAGTAGAAATCTTCATACTGAAAACTAATTGGGTTAATTTACAATTACAGGTTGGACATATTCGTCGTCCATTGCCCGCCACCATCACCGAGGACCAAATCCATCTCTTTTAGGCCCATAGTCAAGGCCCATAAGGTAGAAGCATGCCTCATCCACCTCTACCGAACCGTCCCCTTCGTGGCCCTCCTCAATCGCCGTTGCTTCTCCCCTTCGCTGCAGCTGAGCCCCCTTCCTAAGCTCAGTGTGACGGATCCGCCTCGCCCAAGCTCGGTCACAACCTTCGTCATCGTCGAGGTTGCTGTCACGTGCAGTCACAATCGTCTTCATCATTGAGATCGCCGATCGCAACCATCATCACCAACCCCGTTTTCGCCGCCAATGTCCTTCCCTCTAGCCAAATCTGGTAGGGGGAGGGGAGGGGAGTGGAGTGGAGGAGGGAGTTGTTGTCGGCCGCTCCTATCGAGAAAGTGAGGGAGGTGAGTTGAGAGAGCCTGAGAGGGAAGGAAGGGGCAAATGTACTTAGGGCCTCTTTTGGGGAGCTCCTGTCAGTTGCAGCTTCTCCTAGAATTTCCAACTGCCAAAAGCTCCCCCAAACAATTCAGATTTTCACCCATATTTTAAAAAGCTGTAGTTGTATAATCCAGAAAATAAACTAGAAGCCAAAAGCTGGGTTTACTAGCTTCTCCATATTCTCACCTGCTGCTTCTTAAAATCTTAAGCTCCACCAAACAGGGTCTTATGCTCGGCGACTTCTCGCTCTTGCTGTGCTGATATTTTTGTAGTGTTTCCATGTTTTCGCTAGTGGGCCTCTTTATGCCTCGTTGGTAAAAATCAATTTTTACTAACCGTGTCTAAAGAGGGACCATGTGTGAAAATGAGGTATTTTTTAAAGCTGTCCTCTTAAGACTCTGTTAGTGAAATTCAATTTTTACTAGCGGGCCTAGGGTGTGTTCGGTGCTCTCAGTTTCCAACTCATCTCCCTCATTTTCCGCGCGCATGCTTTTCAAACTACTAAACGGTGCGTTTTTTTAAAAAAAGTTTATATACGAAAGTTACTTAAAAAATCAAATTAATTCATTTTTTTAAAAAATAGCTAATACTTAATTAATCACGTGCTAATGGACTGCTTCATTTTCTGTGTGGAGAAGATGGGTTCCCAACCCCAAGTTACAAACACAGCCCTCTTGTTATTTTTATAAGCGAGAATTTTTAGATCCACCTGGAAAAAAAACCATAGTGAGTATGTGGACGGTGCAGCATGGCCAGAGATCATAGTTGATAGCAGCAGGCCTGAAGAATGTTTCTGAAATTGCTCATCAACAATATGGACTCAATAATTGATTAGAGGTAGAAACAGTGTTTCATTGACATAATTCTCTCATTTGTGACTAAGGCAGTGGTCGCAATGAAAACATGGTAATGCATCCAGCGGCGATGGCTGAGGGAGAAGGGCAGTGCAAGGGTGGAAGTGGGAAGGGGGTGAGTTTATGTGGGATGTGAAATTGATCCCTTTGTGATTGGAACAGGAAGAGACTGAGATATGACAAATCTGATTCCCTTTTCTTTTTTAACTGATAAACAAGCTGCTTAAATCTTTTTTGTACTCTTCTCTTTCTTTTTTCCTTGTAGAAAAGAGAGGAAGCTATTATTTGTATGATTGTATCTACATGGACAAAAAAAAGGTACATTGACAAGGAGATATGGAGATTTTTTTTCCACTTGCTCCATCACAAGCTTTTAAAAAAATGAACAAATGGGGGTCCCAGCAGGATCATGTTTCAAAACCGATCAAAACACATTTTGCACATGAGATGTCTGTGTCCAGCCTTTGCTTCCAGGAAATGGGGCATCGCTGTCAGGCTGGTTCCTCTCTACTTCCTTGAGAGCCTCTTCCACTGCCTTTTCCACTTCACAAGCCGCAATCTGTGAAAATGACACATGCGAAATTAAACGTCGTTAGTTAGAGTGTACAATTGGCTTACTATTATTAATCAACTGCTAGTGTTATAATTATAATAAACTTTTTCAGTTTAATATTGGATAGGCATGGACTGTAATTGGCCCCGATTGTTGCTCTGTAGTATAAAATATGGTATGGCTGTTTGGAATTTGGATGTTTCCTTTTGAAAGATCATGTTTGGATGTTTGTGAACTACTTGTAATAATCTTTTGAGGAAAGATTGATTTGGCAGTTGGATGACCAGTGCTAACTAACAACAGTTGCTGATTAATTAAACCTCTAATTACAGCTATTTGTAATTGGGGTCTTGGGGTTGAGGATCTGCTAAATGATTTATGCATAAACCAAAAGATTCGACAAGAACTCTTGACACGGTTGACTAATGTCAAATTGGGGGGTTTCGAGTGGAATTCCTGCATCTTGACCTCAAGTGGACAGGATATAAAATAGTTCAGCAAAATTACTGCACTAATCTTTTCCTTCGGAAACGTTACTCTGATGCTTCTCTAATTTAGCCCAAATTCTTCTTATTCGAAAAAAAAATAGCCCAAATTCTCCCAACCAATATGCTTCCATCTTCCATTTCTGAAGTTGATTAGAACTCTTCATCCTTATCCAGTTATCCCGTTGCCACTACGGTTTCCTATCTACTACTGTACGTAACAATCTAATCCGTAGCTATCCAAGGCAAGATACAGTGTATTGATAAAACACGAAAATGAGGCTAATCTTGTAGGAGACGAACTGCTGCATCTTTCCTAACCTAATTAAAACTCTGACAGTTACTGTCAACAAGGCAGGTAGGCTAAGTTCAGAGGGGAAAAAATGCAAAAATTTTCAAGAATTGCAAGCCAAGGGGGGGGGGGGGGGGGGGGGGGGGGGGGGGGGGGGGGGGAGAGAGAGAGAGAGAGAGAGAGAGAGCTCTCACCGTGGTCTCGACGTTCATCTCCGTCCACAGCCTGTTCCCGGACATGCTCGACCGGATCCCGCGCGCCTTGACGCTCATGCCCTTGAGCCGCCGGAGCGCGGCGATCATGGAGTCGATCGACGACGACGGCTCGTCGACCTCGAACTGCACCGTGACGCACGGCTGCTGCTCGTCGTGGCCCATGATCTGGGCCTTCAGCTCCTCGTTCCTCCTCTGCAGCTGGTCCCTCGCGACCTTCAGCTCGTGGATGTAGATCGCCGCCGACTGCACGATCGAGTTCTTGTCCCCCTGCAGTGACACGAACGGTTTTTTGTCAGCCCGATTTTGGTAAACACTCCATTTAAGAGGTATTAAAGGGGGATTTCGAACATTCTGAAGCTGAACAGAATTGGTTTGAGCTGAAGATGCTCTGAATTTCAGATTAACATTGGGGAAATCAAGAAGAGGCAAATTGAAGCCAATGAAATGGGACAATGCGATGGTAAACGAAAATCTGAGCTTAAAGAAGGCCAAATTAGCAGTCTACATTAGGCATTTCTCGATGGAATCTAGGTGAAAGATGAAATGGAGCTTGAAATGAAGTGAGCGGCGAAGTGAAGTAGAGTACTAAGTGAGAGTGATAAGCTTAGGCTGTGAGCAGAGGAGGCCGACGAACCTTGGAGCGAGAGGAGACCATGGCGTAGAGGTCGGCGTAGCTCTGGCTGAGCTTCTCGCGGCGCTGGCGCTCGCGCATCATGTGGCGGAAACCGCGGCTGCTCTCCACGTCGGCGCCCTGCCCGCGCCGCCGCCGCTGCGGCACCTCCTCCTCCTCCTCCATCTCCTCACCCTCCCCCTTCTCCCCCCCGCCGCCGCCGCCGCCCATCCTGCCCAGCACGTCCATCACCCTCCGGTGGATGTTCGTCCCACCGGTGGTGACAGCCCCCGCCGCCGCCGGCGCTCCGGCGTGCACCGCGCCGCCGTACTCCTGGAACGCGCTCTGCCTCGCCTCCGCCGCCGCCTGCTCCGGCTCCGGCTCCGGCTCCGGCGACGCAATGAGGCCGAACGGCAGCTCCGGCGACGCCGGCACGTGGTGGGGGAAGAAGAACGCGGCCTCGTCGGCGTGGAACGCGCCGTAGTACGACTCCATTTGCATCTCTTCCTCTTGCTGTTCTTGCTTCTTCTTCTTCTTCTTCTTGTTCTCGATCAGATGTGATGGTTGGCGATGGTTTCCCGGGAAATATTCGAACGCGGGATATAAATAGGCGGGGGCGGAAAATGGAAGAACAAGTTCACGTGTGGTTTTTTTGGGTCACGTGGTCAAAATAGCCGTGTGCGCAAATGTGAGGCGAGTGGGATTGGCTACTAAAACCGGGCGGTCAAATGATGAAAAAATGATTAATAAATAAATAAGTTATTATTCGGAGGAGGAGGGGTTGGGATGCAAAAGAGCACGTGGGATTAGAAACGGAGGGGGGTACGGCTACGCGGTTTGAAGGGGGTGTGACGTCAGCTTGCGGCTGTACACGTCGGCAGGCAGAGAAGGTTCCACGTAGGAGGCCGATTGATTGGGAAGTTTTGCGTTGATTGCTTTTTCGCGGATTAGACCCTTACAGATTCGGTATTTACATGATGGATTTACAGTATGTATATAGAGTAACACACATTTTCTCTATGCTAATTCTGAAACTTAATTTTAAACTTGATTTTAAGATATTTTTAACATAGTTTCTTTTTCATTGCCTTTTAAGTCGCTAAGTACATATGTATTAGAGATTTAAAAAATATTTTTTTAATCGCTAATAAGTTCATAATAAGCTCTTGGGCAATCAATGAGGCCTCTGCTTTGCAACCACACGAATACCGTGGATGACAGCTAAAATTATGGTAGCAAAATGCCATGCATTTAAATGTATAAATACAGTAAATTGACAAACCATTATCTTTTTCTTAAGAAAAAAAAGAAAATTTGGCAGGCTAGTGCTCTAATCCTGGTTTTGCAATGAAATAGGATAACAAAGTACTTTTTTCTCGGAAAAAAAATCAAAAAGTAAACAGAAGGAAGAAATTGTTTTTTTTTCTTTTGCGGGGACATAAGGAAAAATAATTGTTGGTATATACTTTCAACAGAAGGAAGAAAGTTAAGGTATACCACCAAACTTTTAGCTAAGCAAACACTTATTGAGATCTAATTGAACCTTATTGTTGATTTTATACATTTTCAAATTTACTTTAAAGTTCAAGGGACTTGTTCGGCACTGTACTTCAAGTTTAGAGGGATTCCTGCAATTTTCCTCAACAACAATTAACAATTCTCTGATGAAAGGGATCCCAAATTTTCAAGGCATCATTGCAACTAATCAACATGATTATCTTATTAGCATGTTGGCGTATTTTTCTCCCTTCAATACACTTAAAATAGTATTTCTCCGACTGTCGAACAAAAGGGGGAAAAATTCAAGCAACGAGTAGATTGAACAGGAGACGCTCACACAAATGTGAACTTGAATCAGCATCCCAACTATTAATCAACACGTCAAATGATTTTACCACACGCTGTCGCTAGTGCGATGTTTGAAGAGCTAATGACGAGTAAAGACTTCTCCTGGACCAGCTGAATCTTCTCCTTCCGGCACACCATTTTTTTTGGCGGCACAGAAACCTATGGAAACTTCTAAATTGTTCATAGAGTGGTTACTGTGCTGTTTTTTTTTTGGGGGTTCTATTGGAAGTGGTTAGTTTACTGTTGACAAGGTGTACCTTTCAATTTACTAATTAATTAGGACCTTTATAAAATACCTTGAGGATGTTTTTAGCATGTGCATGGATGCATGCATGGAGGAGTTATGGACTGATACTCTGATAATGCTGTTTATATAAATCAAGGCTTAATTAAATGGTCAAGGCAAAGTCATGAGTGATGAGTGATTCCAATTATTCAGTTATTACAATGTGTTCCCCGTGATAGCCTCCTCGTGTGTTAACTTGTCGTAGTCTCTCAGTTGTTTATCATGTGCTCAAAAAAATTGTATAACAATTTCCTCCTTCTGTGCTGTAATTTCTATCGCAATTTGTCTATCAGGCAAATGAAATTCCTCTATACTACCGGACCGGAGACTAAAAAACTCACAGGCACATGTTTAATAATGATATAGAAAATTAGAGATTGAAAACAGCATATAGTAAAGCCACGTGAATTGAGAATCGTCATAAGAAGAGGTTATGAACTTAAAATAACACGACAACTTGGCAAACCCCCCAAAGAAGTCGTAAGACACAAACAGGATAAATTATGAGATCGTATATATTTCCAATGGAATTAATATAATTGTTGAAAATGACTTTATATATAGAAGATTTTCATGTAGCATTCAAATTTTCAAAACTCCTTTCAACTACGAATTTCCCGGTTTATTTCTAAAAAGACTATATTCCAAAAAAAAGGGAGAGAAGAATTCCAAGCCCCTTTTGAACTTAGCAATTTCCCGATTTATTACTAGAAATTAATTTATTCCCCCTCCCCACACCCCACCAAAAAAAAATCGTACAGAATACTTTTCTGTTCCAAACAGGGCTAATAAAAAGCTATCCACTATCCCTCTGTTGATCAAATGAGTAAACGACGGTTGAGCCAGTAAGCAGCTTCGCTAGAGAAACCGGTGCTCACCTGCAACTAATACCAGCCGCATGATAAAAAAGCAGAGAAGGTGCTCTTGCAAATTCCAGGGGACAGAGCAAACGTGCCAACAATGCAGCGTCGACCGGTGGTCGCGGGGAGGAAAAATAGCTTCTGCTATTTCATGTAGTAGCTTCTACAAGACCACATGTGCCAAGACGACGACCCAAGACCAGCAGGCGACGCGATTAATTAAGGATTAATCAATTAACCCGTGCGAAAGCTACTATATGCGCGTGCATACGTGTTGGTGTTGCTAGCTATAGTGAGCTCATCAAGCAGTCGTACATGTAGGTTAGTCGACACGAGCGGTACACAGGCGTACAGTACTAGAATGGAGTGCAGTACGTAGCCAGGTACGAACGACTGGTCGCGGTCAGAGCTAGCGGAGTGTGCCGTCCAAGCGACTCGGTCGTTCGATGGTTGGGTGGAGGAGAGGTGAGCTGAAAAGCTAAGCGTCGCCGCGCGGTACGCCGAGGAAGCTAGGTAGGCCGCGGCCCTCCTTCCTTCTCGTGCAAAAAACGAAAGGATATGATGGGTTTTTCACGTACGCGATCCGCGCTGCGTTTCACCGTGACGCGCGTGTGCCGACCGGGGGGATACCCACCCGGCAAACGGCCACCGCGCGGCCGGAGCTACGCGGTCACGAGGCCTGCGACCCCTGCAAGGCGGGGATCCGGCCGTCTTGTGCGCGGTGCATGCTGCGCCGCCTCAGCTGGTGAGAGATCTAAGGTTCATGTCAGCTGAATTTTTCTTTAAGGTCTTCACCGTGTTTAGATCCAAAGTTTTTCTTTAAACTTCCAACTTTTCCATCACATTAAACTTTTCTACACACATAAACTTCAAACTTTTTCGTCACATCGTTCCAATTTCAACCAAACTTTCAATTTCGGTGTGAACTAAACACAGCCCTTGTTTAGTTGTGAAAATTTTTTGGGTTTGGTTGTCACATCAGATATACAGAGACATATTTAAAGTATTAAACGCAGTCTAATAACAAAACAAATTACAGATTCCACCAAGAAACTACGAGACGAATTTATTAAGCCTAATCAATCCATCATTAGCAAATGTTTACTATAGCACCACATTGTTAAATCATGGCGCAATTAGGCTTAAAAGATTCGTCTCGCAATTTACACGCAATCTGTGTAATTGCTTTTTTTCCTACATTTAATACTCCATGCATGTGTCCAAACATTCGATGTGATAGCATGAAAATTTTTGTTTTGGGAACTAATCAGTGCCTAACTTTTGGTCCTTTTAAAAATCTTATTCTATAAATAGATCTTAAAAAAATTATTCTAGAAACCAATACCTTGCCGGCAAATTTTGCTACAGGACACTACTTATGTGTGGTTTTAGCCCTAGGACATTGCCCAAACTCACTTTTGGGGGAAAACACTCCATAAACGTGGTAATTTGCCAGTGGACACCGCGCCGATTAAAATAATACTTTCCGGTTGAAGAGGAGAGAGAAATCGCGTGAAATGTCAAAAATGCCCTTAGGCCCACATGTCAGCTCTATCTCCTATCTCTCTTCTCATCTCTCTCTATATTCTCTCTCACTCTCATAGGCGCACGGGGGCGGCGTCAGTGCCGGCGAGGCTGGTGGTGCTTGAGCAGATGGAGCCGTGGGTGGAGCAGCATGTGCTGTTGCTGCTCAAGCCGGCGAAGGAGGCATGGCAGCCGGAGGACATGGTGCCCGACGCGGCGGCGCTCGGCGCGGACGGGTTCCACGCGGCGTGCCTTGAGCTCCGGGAGTGCGCTGCGCGGCGTGCCTTGAGCTCCGGGAGTGCGCTGCGCGGCGTGCCCGACGCGCACCTAGTGTGCCTGGTAGGGAACATGGTGACGGAGGAGGCGCTGCCCACGTACCAAAGCATGGTGAACCGGTTCGAGTCGGCGCGCGACGTCACCGGCGCCGACGGGACGGCATGGGCGCGATGGATCTGCAGGTGGTCCGCCGAGGAGAACCACCACGACGACGTGCTCAACCGGTACATGTACCTCTCCGGCCGCCTTGACATGCGCCAGGTGGAGCGCACGGTGCACCGGCTGATCAGCTCCGGCATGGCCATGCACGCGCTGGTGAGCCCCGACCACGGCTTCAGCTATGTCGCCTTCCAGGAGCGCGCCACCGCGGCAACACGGCACGCAACGTCCGCGCCCATGGCGACGACGCGCTCGCCCGCATCTGCGGCGCCATCGCCGCCGACAAGAGCGCCACGAGGCCGCCTACACCCGCGTCGTCGAGATGCTCCTCGCCGCTGTCCTCGCCATCTCCGCCACGACCGATGCCGCCTCGTCCTCCTCCGCTGGCTTGAGCAATGGCAGCAAGTGCTGCTCCACCCATGGCTCCATCTGCTCAAGCACCTCCAGCCTCGCCGGCGCCGATGCCGCCCCGTGCGCCTCTGGTAGTGAGAGAGAATAGAGAGAGAGAGAGATGAGAAGAGAGATAGGAGATAGAGCTGACATGTGTGCCCAAGGGTATTTTTGACATTTCACGCGATTTCTCTCTCCTCTTCAACCAGAAAGTATTATTTTAATCAGCGCGGTGTCCACTGTCAAATTACCATGTTTATGGAGTGTTTTCTCCAAAAGTGGGTTTGAGCAGTGTTCTAGGGATAAAACCACACATAAGCAGTGTCCTGTAGCAAAATTTGCCATACCTTGCCACATCATGGTTTTCAGCCATGCTGGGAACATGATTCAGCCACACCATTAGTTTAGCCAAAAGATTTAGATCTAAAATTAAAATTATAAGATGATTTATTTTAAATTATATTGAAATAGTTTTTTCTTTGAAAAGTAAAAGGTATGTGGCCATTTGTCCATCAAACAAGTTATATTTTTTTTTGAAAGAAATCAATCAAATAAGTTTTTGTTACTATATTTATATGTCGGCAATTATCTGACCAGCTTTTCAGTCGACAGAATTTGCAGTTGACCATCGGCTGCAGCTCGCAAATTTTTGCGGCGCCGCCGGCGCGCATCGGCTTCACATACATAGTCAGCAACACGGCGTCCTCCGGTTGAGTTCTTGGCGTCCTCCAGTTGAGTTCTTGGGTGAACTCGTTATAAATCGAAATGGCTGTGGCCTATGCCGCTAGTTGTGCAGTGTTCAGTGAGCTTCGAAAATAAAAATCCCTGCCTTTCACGGCCAAGAATGCTGTTCAGTGTTCAGCGGTCAAGGGCTAGTGATTTCTTGGTTAGCTCTCGTCGATTAAGTTCTTAAGCACGCGGCTTAAAAGCATTTAAGGCTTCGTTTTGGTTTGCGGTGGGTTACGATAACCTCGTTTGGTGTAGTTGGAGATGGTAAGGGGTGTGTGTGGTTGTAATTTTAAGGTACCGTGTTCAATCCTTAACTCACTCACAATTTTCTCTCCCTCCAAATCTTGTTTTTGTTTGGTGTAGTTGCTCTAAGATTTTGTGTGATGAATTGCTTTTCTTTTAATCTATGTTGCAAAACGACAATAATATTATGTTGAACGATGTTGATATTTGATCTGTTAGACAAACTATAACCATTATAACTTTGTATTCCCACATCAACTTAAAAATAAGCAAAACACAATAACCAGAAGTGTCAAGTGCAACTAAATAAATGGCCTAAACCATTCTTTTTTTTTAAAAAAAAGGGGGGGGGGGCTAGTCTAGTGCATAAAACAGGATGAGTTTAAGCACAGCAATATCCAAGCAAGCATCAATCCAAGAGGGAAAATGGGAATATTTTCAGAAAAAACCAGTGTCAGGGTCAGAAAATACCTCAACAGTAGGGACTCAGCAATTCCATCTCTGACGAACCGTCTGAGGCCTGGTTGGTCTGGTTTAGTTTCCAACTTTTTCTTCAAACTTTTAACTTTTCCATCACATCAAAATTTTTCTACACACATAAACTTCCAACTTTTCCGTCACATCGTTCCAATTTCAACTAAACTTCCAATTTTAGCGTGCACTAAACACACCCTCCATGTCTCCCCTCCTGTAACAGGGTTTCCTCCAAGAAATTCTGTAAAAAAATCAGCGGTAAGCCATCACATAAATCGTAACAAATGGAAAGGCATCTTCACATCGCAAAGTGAAAGATAAAGCAGAGTGATACAGAAAAGAAAAACCATGGGATATCCAAAGATAAAAGGAAAAATAATAATAATCTGCCCATGGCCATGGAGCCAATAAGCTTCTTCTGATGTTTGGACTCGAGAGCTGTTGGTTTTGATGCAAAATAACTTAATTCCTTCTAACGATGTGTGTCGTCGATTACCAATTTGGTGATGCAAATCAGGAGAATAAGATGATAGAAATCTTCTTCCAAGCAATATGCCTTGAATATTCTTATGAAATCTCAGAAAATGATCCAAAGATTCAGTAAACGATCCAAAACTTTATGCTTCAGTATTCATGTGTTATTGGTTTTCAAAACTCACTATTTTGCATTATTTGGATCGTTCTCTCTTCTGAATGCAAACAAGAAACCAAAAGTTGCATTTTGTGTGGTTAACATAAAATCCCTGCCGACCTGCGAGGAAAACTATCCAAACAAAAACCCAAGAGATAAATTAAAGGTAGCAGATAAATCCCCTGATAAGACATATTGAAGGTTCTTCAATTCACCCTTCTTTTTCTCTCTGAACAATCTTAAATTCTCAATCTTGATATGTCCAAGACAGAAGGTCTTCATCCATAGTTTTACATGTCAATCTTCCTCTCTTCTCACAAGAACTCTGGTTCTCAGAAGCGATCGATGAATGAAACCAAAATTCTCTCGGGAAAATTCGATTCAAGCTGATCAAGAATGAAACCATGCTAGTCTTCCCAACTCCCAAGCAAAAACTCATGCAGCTGAAGTGCCCAATCAGGAAAGCTCAAAAGTCAAAAATAACATCAGCTAGAACACAAGAAACAATCGAGAAAACCAAACCAAAATCACCAGAAGAAACTGAAACCCAGCAGCAAAACCAACCTGCTAAATCAGAGCTCGTAGAGGAAAAGAAAAGACCGAATCAAGCAACAAACCACAGCAAATCAGCAGGAAATTTCTTACCTCGTCGTCTCTGTTTCTTGATCCGTTTCTCCTCCATTTCCGCCCCCTCTTGCTCAGCTCGGCTTCTCCGCTTCTTCCCCCATCCGATGGGAGGAGAGGTGGTGGTCAACAGCAGGAAGTGTTTTGCCGCGTGGATTCCAGAATGCAAACGCTTATTTGGTCCACAAAACTGCAAAGCAGGGAAAAGTCTCAAACTTTGACTGGAAAACGCGGACCTGACTGCCCCTGAAATGCATAATTTACACGTGATTAAACGAACATTCCTTTTTCTTTGTTTGTTTTTTTTCCAAGCATGAAAAGGACGTGCAAAAGGTGTGACTTGTTTCAAGAGAAAAAAAGGCTGAGATTTTTTTTTTGTTCATGGAAAACAAAAGGTGGATGAAGAACAGTAGCTCTGGTGCAAGCTGAAGAACTGCGAATTTGCGATATTTTTAAGATTAAACTGCGGTTGAAAGAATGGTTTTCGTGACATCAAAAATCGTATCGGCAGCAACTTATGTACAATTTTATCAACACGTTCTCATCCAAGGCCTGCACCGCTGCATGAACAGTAAGGATGGCTCCATCGCATGATCAGGCAGAAAACGAGTAAGAGCAGAGTAACACACCAGAAATCATAATCTTCTATACATTTTCGACTCCCAACTTTTAGCTGAAGTTAAGTACAAAAAAAGGAGCCAAACTAGTGGACTAATCTGGTTGATGATGCTTCTTTTCTAACCCAGAAAAGGCACATGATTTTGAGCTCATTGTGCAATGCAAAACACATGCTTGCATTGACTTCAAATAGTCCCCGAGCAAAAGGAGGAGAAGTGCAGGGGCAAAAAATCATGGTATGGGAGCAAAGCACATGCTGCCTTGTGCATAGATTCTTCATTAACATATTAAACTATAGGAGTACAGCCACCATCAGTATTATCACCATCCTCAGCCAAAAACACGTGAAGAACATTGAAGACAAGCTTGGCAATTATAGGACTCAAGGTTTAGCTCCACATGCACTTAAATGTTCACAAGGTACATGATTGACACACTTGACGAAATGAAAATTAGTTGCATGACAGATGCATCACATGGATTAAGTGTTAAGGATATCACATGGATTAAGTGTTAAGGATATTAAGAACTCCCATGTAGGTCCTGTTGATATCCTTAACATTAAGAATTCGCATGTAGGTCTTGTTATACTGTCATATTCAGTCTAGCAGTTAGGTTGCTTGTTCAGGCTATTTTCTAGTCCTCTTGCGACCCCTCCCCCCTCTGGAGGTGGCTGCAGTTTTCTCAGGAGAGCTATGAAGATCGCCGCCACCAGTCTCAGAGGGTTCATCATTAACGCTTGCATCTTTGTCACTTGCTTCCTCAAAAAGCTCTGTCTTATCAGTGGAGTTCTCATCCTCCTCCTTTGGAGCCTTGTCAGCAGATTCAAATTCTGTGAGTTTGTCCTTGAGTTGTCTGAGCTTGGCTTTCTTCGAATTTAAGACAGCCACAAACTAGAGACATGACACAACAGTGAGTAGAGAACTACTATGGTAAGCTCAATATACAGTTTTCTTGAGTTCCAGTCAACTAATAACTGAATGAGAAAATCACTAAATGCCAAAGTCAAAATATGACCACGAGAGGGAACAAAATATCAAAGCTAACTAATTGGGGAGAATGTGAATATCATCATATAGTGTTCACCGTGAGAATAGTTTGTGATGATGCAAACAAGCAAGGCTAAAGGATGAAATTTTTTGAACTGCAAGAAATGTTCGTCTTTCACAAACACCAGGGAATGTACCTTTGAAAATGTGGATTGTTCGAACTCAGCTTTCTCAATGTTAAATCTTTCACTTTGTTGCAAGCACTTCTCAGATTCTTGTTTCAACTTGTCAAAGGATTGTGTTTTCCTAACAACCTCTTCCTGAAAAATGAAGGGAAGGCAACAGTTTAGTCATTCAGGTCAAGTAAATCATATATGAAGATGACTTGGTGGTAGGTTGCAGTGAGGTCGAATCAAGTTCATCGGAATCTTGACAACAATTCACTACTTCCATAGAAAATATTATAGCATTATATCCATGGAATGGAAAAGGAAAGTGACATACGCTCAAGCGTATATTTGCATCCATAAGAAAATCCAAGATCTCAGCTATAGTCTGCTGAGTGTTAGGTGCAGGCTGCAGTTTCCATCGCCATTCTAACTTGGTGCCTTGTTTCTCAAATGTCCATGACAGCTACATGGAAAAATAAATAATCAATAACTCGGGAAACAAAAGGAGAAAAACGTGTTTGGTACAAAACAAGCAAGGACATGAAATGGTCTCCTCATAAACCAAGACATGCCTGTAAAGCAGTACTACTTGTGTTTAACATAATTTCATCACCATTTGAAAATCATGTATCATATCGTCAATGGTGCTCATATTTAGGATATTATGACATCAAGGGAATCCATGTTGTCCCTAACAGATAGTGACTTTAAGTAATCAGGGTCTAGTAAATCGTCGAGGCGCAAGGGCTAACCCTCAAACAATTAAGAGGTCTTAAAAACATTATGTATTAATATAAGAGAAGGAAGCATTCTGAGTCCTACATGATGTGATCATTATACAATAACTTGATAGACTGATCCTGGTTTATATGCAAAGTTTGAGATGAGGCACCATTCCAACGCTAGAAACAGTTAGCACAAAAATTAGATAACACGTGTATATTCGTATCCGACTTAAATAAAATGTCAAACAGGAATTTCTTCGCATTTTAGTTCATCTATGCATAAAAGCATACTCTTCGTCAAAATTGGGTGTGTACAATTTAATCCATATAACTAATTGGTAGGAGTATATCCTTAAGGCCAAAATCCAAAAACAGAAGAGATTGTAAGCAACTTGCATTGTGAAAAAAAAAATAAAAGAGAGTGGGGAAATATTATCTTTACGCCGCAGTCAACGTGCTCAGAAATTACTTCCCAGATTGAGCGCAAAAGAGGAGATAGAGATCAGATACTTCACAAAACTTCGTAAAAGAATCAACATTAACTACTGAATGCATTACTCGTGGATGAGTGAAGGTGAACTACAATCGGGAGCTAAATGCAGTCTCCAGCTACAAAATTACCAGCAAACTGCGTCGTTTCGCCCCTAAACAAACATTGCTGGACCTTGCAGTATACACATGTAAGCGAGAGAGAAATGTGACACTGTGAGCATCAAATAACAATCCTACCATACAGTTACAAAGATGATATCGATTGCTCTACTTCCAACTTGCCCTAAAAGCAGTAGCATTCTTCCATATATAGATAAAAAAAGAAAGGGATAAGAAAGAACGAACCCTTCGATTGCCGTTGGCGGCGTCGTGGAAGGAGTAGGTGGAGGAGGGCTGCTGGAAGGCGAGGTAGCGCTCGGCGAGGGCGAGGTAGTCGGCGACGGGCTGGTCCCACTGCTCGGCGCGGAGGCGCACCTCGGCGTCGGAGGCCTGGGCGACCCACGCGGCGCCGCCGTCGGTGACGGCGAGGGAGAAGCGCGTGGGGTGCCACGTGGCCTTCACGAAGACGGCTCCGCCGCCGCCCGCCTTGGGGTCCTCCACCGCCACCGAGAGCTTCGCGCAGCTGTGCCTGGGCGCCGCCGTCGAGGTCGCCATGGATCGGCGGCGGCGGCGGCGGCGGTGGCTGTTCGGGAGAACACGCGGGCTTTGAATTCGTATGGGCCGTCCGATTGCTACTGTTGGTTCAAATCAAGGGCCCAGGTGCGAGCCCTCACAAAATTCATCGAAAAGTCAAAAAAATACGTGCCTGCCATACTGCCAATAGTAATAGTAGTAACCTTATTTTCATTTTCTTTTGGGCCTGTGTAAGTTGGCGAAAAGAAAATTTTTGGGTGTCACATCCGATGTTTGACCGGATGTCGGAAGGGGTTTTCGGAGACGAATGAAAAAACTAACTTCATAATTCGACTGAAAATCACGAGACGAATCTTTTAAGCCTAATTATAATCCATCATTAGTACATGTGAGCTACTGTAATACTTATGGCTAATCATGGACTAATTAGGCTCAAAAGATTCGTCTCGCGATTTCCCCCCTAACTGTGCAATTAGTTTTTTTAATCTATATTTAATGCTCCATACATGTGTCCAAAGTTTCGATGTGATGTTTTTTGGAAAAAAATTTGGGAACTAAACCAGGCCAACCAGGCCTTTGTTACCCAATACCAACTGTTTAATTCATTCCGTTAGTTTATTTTTAGAGTAAATTTCGTGAAACCTCACCTATTATGATCTGAGTTGTATAAAACCATAGGTATTTTGGCAAGTGGGACATAATCTCAGATATTATGGTACTAACTTTTCACAAAGCCTTGCTATTGATCATTTTGTCTTTGATCTACCATAATTTTAAGTTCTATAATCGCATCTCAAATTTATGAAAACTTTATCCATCATATATCCTGTAAATATTATATTCTTTTTTATTTGATAGATAGGTATATCAAAATGATTAACGGTGTTGTTTTGTGGAACTTTAAGATCATAATACTCGGGGTTATGTGTCATGTGCCAAAATCCTTATGGTTTCGTGTAACCTAGATCATAATAGGAATTTTATGAAATTTACTCTTATTTTTATATTAAAGAAAATCCTTCGGTGGGATTACTTTTGAGTTTTGACTCGTAATGATGGGAGAAAACTCATTTACTCCCTCCATTTTTAATAAGTGACGATTTGTATTTTCTTATTTAAACTTTGACTATTAATTGTGCTTGAATTACAAGATCAAAGTTTTATGTTTATGTCTTAGAGTATACCCACGTTAATAACATAGAACATCTCTAGTGCTTATAAATATTGATAAAACAAGTGGTCAAAGTTAAAAGGTAAATAGTGCCCCGTATCAGTTATTATGAAATGGAGTGGGTAGTACTTAAGGGAATGTCCCCCTCATAACCCAAAATAATGCTTAATATAAAAGATCATAAAAAAAACTCAGGCATTTATGAAAAAAAAAATCAATGTTTCGACCTTAGATATAAAACACCCCCACAAAATTTCAAATATAAACTCGACCAACATATCTAAGCGAGGATATAAAGCTAGATTATGATCAGTACGTCGATTCTCTGCCATATTATATCAGTCTTGTTTCTTTCCACCGCCATGTAGATTGATCTTTATTGTCAAATAGACATCATGGCACTATATTGTCAAAGATCTTTCTACAGTTCTTTACAAATATGTGCATTAATCTAAAAACCAAAAGCATGGTCTAAGTTGACAGTTTGACACACTATTTTTTAAAAAAAAACTGTAGTTGACACTCTCAGCTCATCAAGACCTCAAGCAACAAGAATCCTATAATTCCATAATAGTGCCCTTTCTTTCACAAGTAGCTAAAAAGCTCTCTCTCTCTCTCTCTCTCTCTCTCTCTCTCTCTCTCTCTCTCTCTCTCTCTCTCTCTCTCTCTAAAGAATCTCAAGATTTGACCACTTGCCCCGTTCTAAACTTTACCCATTTTTCATCGATTTTCATTAGCACGTTTTTCAAATGCTAAACTGTGTATTTTGTGTGAAAACTTTCTACATAAAAGTTGTTATAAAAAATCAAATAAATCTATTTTTCAAGTTTTAGTAATTAAAATTCAATTAATCAATATGGTAATGACTTGTGTCGTTTGCGTGCGCATTTAATCCTTATCTTGTTTGAGAATCGAAGGACCACACCACGCATCGATCGATCGAACGTACTCCCTCCGTCCCATAAAAAACCAACCTAGGACTAGATGTGACACATCCTATTACAACGAATCTGGACATAGAATATGTCATATCTAGTCCTAGATTTATTTTTTAGGGGACGGAGGGAGTAAGTCGTGTCGTGGCCGCCTCTTTAGCCTGTAGCTTCAACCCTAAGCTTGGAATCGAAACCATTTCCATGATCATTTCATCATCATCAATTCACAAGTGGAGTCACAAAGTTGCCACGCTTTGCAGGAGAATCACTTCGCATTTCAACGTCATGGACCTGATTACTAACAGACAGGCTATGGTTCTCTCTCCCTCTGTTGCTTTAATTTTGTTGTTGTCGCTGCCACGAGGAATATATATAAAACAGCCATCATGATTCATCGACTGATCTTCCACTGCTTTTTTTTTTCACGGTCACCGGCGAAGAAGGCTGGATCGCCAATCTCAAAAGAAAGTGACGCGAATAGCATCTGATCGGGCGCTGCTGCTGCTGATGCTGCTTTTGTTTGTTTTTTGTGCTCAACTAAAAAGATTTTGTGTCGCGTTCAGTTCTCCACATAATATCGCATCTGATCTTTTTGTTCTGCTGGTGCTAAGCATATAATACTCGCCTTAGGCGAGTGAGTCCCCTCTTCTGGCATGCTATGGCAAACGAAACATACAGAAAGACAGAAAGAGATGATCAATTTGTCAGGGATATGATTTTTTTTTTGGATCTTCTGAAGTTCTGAGATGATGATCCATGGCTGTTGAGAGGAATGACGTCCGGTCTGAAGATCGCCGTCCCCAGGCGGTGGCTTCGGACCAGGCTTCATTCCCCATGACTCATGGAACCCACACGTGTGTACTGATCCTGTGAGCTTCAGCTTCGTATGAATTATGATCAGCAACCAACCAAGATTGCAGGGAAGGCAGGTAGGCAGGTAGGCAGATGTCCATTCAATTCTGTTGAGATTTCTGAAGGTTTTCATGTTTGGGATTTTGCAGAATCGCAGTGCCACTAGGCACTGGCTGCTTGTTTTGGATGAACTTTGCTAGCTTGGATTGGATGCACAGGTTGGTACTACCTACCTACTTGCTGTTGCTGGCATGGCATGCTGATGCTGGCATGCTGCACCTACTTGCTTTTCGTGCTTCGCTCGAACATAAGGCAACAAAAGATTAGGTGCAGATTTCAGGACAGGATCAACAAGAATGAAAAGTTCATATAGCAAATAGGATTTCCAGTTTGAATGAAATGCGAAACTGAATAGTGACATTACAAGGACAAAACACCGGAAAAAATATTCTGGTCTTCTAAGTACTGATGAATTATTCTGGTCTTCTGAATACTGATGAATCGTATGTAGTAGTAGCCTATAGCGTCAACCCTAGACAAGCAAGTAATGCATTCAGTCCAAACTGTCAACGTCAGACTAACTAGAATGAAAAGCCGCTCAAACCAGCTTGTTGCGATCAAGTACCAGCCTCGCACCTTCCTTATTACAATCTCCGGTTTTTTAGCATACGGTACCATCTAATTTTAAAAATTGTTTATTTTATTGTGACTTATTTTAGAACTACAATCTAAACCTAAACTTTTACATATTTATACTAAATTTTAAATAAAACGAATGATCAAATGTTTTAATGGCGTTATGGCCGGGGTTGATGTCAATTTCGAAATTATAGATTTAAGCTACATTCAGTATCAGGTGAAGAAACAAATGTGTTAACATGAATACAGGACATGACATTTCCTACAAAAATTCGTCGTACAATTTCCAGAAGGCTGTTCTTACAGAGGTTCTGGTGACTGTATTTACATCTAATCAAGCTGTTTGGTCCAATCAAAGGGTTCCCAGTCCTTCATGAAATTAGCAACAGCTTGTTTCTGATTATCCATCGATTCATGCCTTCGGCGCCTGTGCATGTCCTCTTCCCGCAACTGGAGCATCCCTCTGATGACATTCAACCCAAAACCTGCACTGAATTTGCTCTCATCGTCTATGACATGGGCAAATCCACGGTCGAGCCCGAACTCTACATGAAAGTAGGCAAAGTTCTCTGGGATGACTTGGTGCAGGTTTCCCTTTGTTGGAATAAGTTTCTTCATGTCATGCTGGGTCCATTCTTCTTCCGCTTCATCAATTGCCTGAAGTAAATAGGTTGGATTTTGTTAGAACCTGAAGCACATAAGAAATAAATTGTTCTCAATCATGGACAAAGCAACAGACAACCGACCTTCTTGAAGTACATGGGAGCATTGTTTGAAACTTCGGAGGGGATAGGGATGCATTCAATCATGCAGTGCCTGCGTTGTTTGGCCAAGCTTATAACAGTCTCCATGAAAACAATATCCTTGTCCTGCTGCGCGAACATTTTCAGGAGGCACTTCTTAAAGTTGCGGATCTCCTCCCAGACACTTCTATCAACTGTTCTTGTTGCAGACTCATGCTGCAACCATAAAAAAGAACATATCATAAGGTAGATGATGAATAGTGCATAAGAGTTGTAATGAAGGTCGGGTTTACATATGACTATTCAAAATTACAAGAAGCTGAAGTTAGCTTGTTGTTATGAAAGCACATCATAAAATGATTTTCTCACCTGCAATGGCAGAATAATGCAGTGCCCAGGGACAACAGGCTCAAGCTGTGGCAGCATCAAGTAAGTGAAGTTTCCTATAGCAACAACCAGATGCTTTGGCCGTGATGGGTTCTCGAAGCAATACATACAGCGCTCTTTCTGAGTTGTGAGCCAATGAGTGCTTCTCCTCTCCTCATGTGCATCTTTGTTCCTCCTTTTGCCTTTCTTACTGGGGGCATCACCAAAATCATATTCATCCTCTATACTTTTAGACATGTTGTACTGTTTATTGTGCATAATTTTATTTGCAAGATGCCGGTCAGCATCCTCTTCTCTTTTCCTGCGATCAGCTGCACTAGGCTTTATTGTGTTCCTACAGATTAGAAAAACAATAGTTTGTTCAGCAAGCAGATAAACAATACGAGTATATATATGCTGATACAACATTGAAATAGAAAGGTCATTTCTGTAATGCTTATGTTTGTAATAAATTGGATGTCTACATTAAAATATTTGAATATCCCTATGCAAAACAGGTGCACCCTGTGTTTTGCACTTTTTTTTTTGTCATAGTATGCCAAAATGGCATACATATGGCCACCAAAATATTTCAGAGGAGCAGATCAAGTGCATGCTGTATCCATTCCCCTTCTTATCTATACAACTATGCCTCATACGCACATGCTCTAGAAACTAGACATTAAGAATATGAAACTGAGAGTATTTCAATATGAGAGAACGATTACTGTTAGAACATTTCAGCATAGCTTTACAGTTGCAGACATATTTCTTTTCAAGTCCTCAGATATTGTGGGAGAATAACAAGGTACCAATACTAAGGCGTTTACAAGTTTTTAGCCTTACAAAGTGACATCATACGACAGTGTGTGAAAGCAGGCATCTGTAATGTGCTAACTCAGAATAACAACGTCATGGACTAACCTGGTTGAACTCCTCACTTCATGCCTAGGTTCTTCAACAGCAGTATCCTCATTCTCCAGCACCGCCTCCATTTCTCGCTGAGCAAGAATAGTTAGCAGTTACAAAGTCTTGTCACCTCTAATTCAAGTATATTCAAGCATATGGAAATTCAATTTCTTAATCATGCCCTATTTCAGATATAAAAGAAATTGTGCTTCGGCATCCTAAATTGTATATTGATCATAAAGCGATAAACATAGTGCAAATTCTTGAGCATGGATTGATGCGGATCCGACCATGGTTACATGCTACTATAAGAGTATGTTAAATTAGGGGTCAAAGCCATTATTCAATAGCAATATGTTAGCTCAGGGGTCTAAGCCATTACTGAAAAGCAATGAACAGCATGTATTTTCTGTTACTTCAAATGAATAAATGAAACCATGTGCAAAACTGCACTTTCATTACTATATTGTAATAAGTATAGTTATTTTCCAAACAAATTATATACACTAATAATGAATCAAGAAGGTAAGCCTGTTAATGTTATCACAATAACAATAATGCAATACTTACCGAAAGTTGTTCAGCTTCTTCATGCTTGCCTTTCATTCGGAGCTGCAGAATCTTTGCTGCTAACTGGTTCGCATTTAGCTTTTGAGTGCTAACTGAAGGTGCTTTCTTTGAGCTACCCTTATCAGACTTGAGCTCATCAACCTCTGCAGTCAAAACATTTACAGTCTTGCTTTCAAGATTATTAATCTTTTCCAAAAAGCTTCCATCATTAGAGAACTTATTGATTCCTGCTATCGCTGAAGAGATAAGTGCCTGATCCTCAGAAGAAATATTCTGCCTATTCCTTTTCCATGGTACAGAATCAGGTTTAGGTTTTCTCATTGCATGATGCCGAGAGGAAACATCTTTTAAGTATTCACGTCTACCACTGTCTCCACCTTGCTGACCCTCCTTTGGATTTTCTTTGGAATGTTCTTCTGAGCTGCCTGCTTGCCCAGCTTTTCTGCCTCTAATGGCATGTAAATGAGCATGCGAAGGGGCAGCTCTAGATGCTGACACTGATGCAGCTAAGTGGCCTAACGAGCCCCATCTCTCACCAACAACCTATATTGAATAGTAATAGAAGTTAGGGGAATAAACTACCTAATGTCAGTCACTTCCAATAATAATATGTGGCGACGGACATACCTCCTCAAGTTGTTTTCCTTCACGAGCTGCTTGCTCTTTTGCACGCTTCAAAGCTTTGAGCCTCCAGCTAGCACCTCCATCACCAACCACAGAGGAAGCAAGCAACTGGTTGCCTGCATTTGAAGGGCTAGATTCATCAGGGTACCCACTGCCATTATCCCTCAGGTATGGATTCAATTCCTTTGGATTGGCTTTCTTCACCTGTCAGTACCCAAGAAGTTGATGTAAGCAAAGCAGGAGAGATATCCCAGTTTAGAGTTTAGAATCACTAAACAAAACATTTATTCCATACATCTTATACAGATCCGTAGATATAAATATAGGGTGTGTTCGCTACAGCCGGCTCCCAACGTGCACAGTACGCACGGAAAACGGAGCAGCCCATTAGAACGTGATTAATTAAGTATTTGCTAAATTTTTTTCAAAAATGGATCAATATGATTTTTTAAGCAACTTTTGTATATAAACTTTTTTGCAAAAAAAGCACCGTTTAGCAGTTTGAAAAGCGTGCGAGCGGAAAACGAAGGAGGGGTTTGGAAAAGGGGGTGCCGAACACACCCATAGGCCGTGTTTAGATTCCAACTTTTTTCTTCAAACTTCTAACTTTTCCGTCAAATCAAATGTTTGGACACATACATGGAGCATCAAATGTGGACAAAAAAAAAACCAATTGCACAGTCCGACTATAAATTGCGAGACGAATCTTTTGAGCCTAATTACGCCATGATTTGATAATGTGGTACTACAGTAAACATTTGCTAATAACGGATTAATTAGGCTTAATAGATTCGTCTCGTAGTTTACATGCGGAATCTGTAATTTGTTTTGTTATTAGTCTATGTTTAATACTTCAAATGTGTGTCCGTATACTTCAAAAAAAATTTTGGCGCACCAACTAAACACAGCCATAGTATTCCTGCACTGAACAACTGAATGTTCCAGGGGTTTATTAAAATATGAGTTAACGTACAGGACAAAACATACTCATCCATCGTCATGAAGAAAATTATACAGCAGTTACTTGACTAAATGTCATTGCTAACGAAAGAAACCAAATCTAAATCTAAGTATGAACATCATAACTAAATAGCAACGGTCACTCACTGAATTGATCACAACAAGCTTAGCATTGAACCAACTTTCAGCTACTATAGCTTAGCATAAAACCATAAGCAGAATAGCATTCTACCATGGGAATATTGTTCATAATTTGAGTAGATAGGATGCAAGTGCCTAATACCATCTGAAGACTACTGTTCAGCTACCAACAATTAAAACATGGCATCTTCACTGCAAGTGGTGAATCATATACAATATTAATGCAGTACCTAGCTTATGGAAATATTACCATCACAAACATGGCCTCAGCTCCACAAAGAACTACAATAAGCTACCCTGAATTGCAATTATATGGCAAAAGGTAGCTACTAGGACACAAGCATTGAACCATAAGCATATCTCACATGAGATGTGGTAATCATTACCTCCTCGGGTGCAACCTCCTCCTCATCTTTGTCAGCCCCGCCAGCTTGGCTGCTCTCCGCCCGACCACTGCTTGCCGACTTGAGCATCCATTCGAGGCCCATCTCCTTCCTGACAATATCACTAGCTCTCAACTCCTCACCTCCAATTCCCTCATCCTCCTCCTCCTCATCATCATCATCACCTGCGGCACCTCCAAGCTTGCTCTTGCGACTGCCTGTAACAAGAGGTCAGCAATACCAGGTGATCAGAAACACAACTCACAAAAATCCTACCAAAAAGCACCATCCTAACCTAACCTAAACAAGTTTAGGGCTACTTGCCTCTTCTCTTATCAGATTCACCACTGGACTCCTCGTCATCATCATCGTCGTCATCGGAGAACTCATGGCGCCGCCTCTGATGCTTCCTCCGGTGCTTGCTCCGGCTCAACCCTTTCTCCTCCTCCTCTTCGATCGAGTCTCCGCTATCGGACCCCTCCTCGGAGTCCGAGCCGTACTTGCTCCGCCTCCGCCGGCGCCTCCGGTCCCGCCTCTCCTCCTTGTCCCTCCCCTTCCTGCCCCGCTTCTTCCGCCGCCGCCTATCCTCGGAGCTGTCGGACCCCGCCGAGCCGGCGCCGCCTAGGGCATCCTCGCCGATCTGCTCCCGGGGGATAAACTTGACGCCGGAGAGCATCGCCGGTGGGCGGCGAGGCGAACGCGCTAGGGCTTCGTTGGTTGGGGGAGAGAAGCGGCGAACGCGAGGGCTTCAACGGCGGCGGAGGTGGCGCGCCGGCGACGAGCCGACGAGAGAGAGGAAGAGGTAGCGAGACCGCAAGGGGGATCCAGCCATCCAGGGAGAGAGAGAGCCTTTCCGTGATGTGTAGGCTGGATGGGCCGGGCCTTAACAAGTGACGGGTACCGATACAATCGGCCCATCGGCCCGTGTTGATTCAATTGGCCCAATACTCAACGGTTTTCAGCCCAATTACAAAGCAACACCAGTAGCCTTTACTACTTCCTCCGTCTCATAATAAATTCTATTTTTTTAGTAATCATTATTTCATTGGAGTCTGTAAAAGTAGAAAATAATTATATTAGAAGTACATAAAGTAAGAAATAATTGTATTAGGGTTTGATAAAATAAGTGTATTATAGTCTTTTGGGTTGTTTTTTTATGTGTGTGGGATGGGAGAGAAATAAACTTATTTTGGATGGAGGAAGTAAATATAAATCCTCGCCAAATATTGAAGGTATGAATTTGTTTATCTCTGTTCCAAGACTTGTTTGTTCCTCGGATAGTTGGGAAGAGGATTAGAAAGATAATGATCTCACGATGCTGACAATAGGGTGTGTAAATATCACTTTGAGGTCAAAACCAAATTTATGTATAATTCTGATATATTATGTACGAGTATTCTATTTGATAGTTTGACACCCGTATCCCAACTTTTCCTGTACCGAAGAAAATCTGCTTGGACTCCTGTTTTTCATTTTCCCTCCTTTCCTGTTTCCTAGCAAAACAATTGATACGGAATTCAAATTACATATACCCATTTGTTCTCGCTGAATGCGTACATATCCAAAACGGTCTGTGAGATAAATATCCTTTTCCCTCTTGCACTAGTCAGAAATCATCCGAACAGCGGATGAACAAAGCGAACAATGTCTTAACTTCCATGAAGTGTCCCCTGCAACACGCAAGCAAAATGCTACTACAGCCTCAGTGGTGTACCACGAAGAAAGATGATCGAATGTGCACAATGAAGAAAGATGATCAAGCATGGCCGTACAGTTCGTGAGTAAGTACCATTTTACTACCAACAAAACCTTCCTGCTCCATCCCTGAGAAGGGATGTACAAGCCGTGCTCCGAGGTCTGAACACTCAACTTGGGGAGACGAATTCGACAGGAATCGGTTTAGCTCAAACCCAGAAATTCAGTTCGCTTGTTTCGCACCGTGAAACTTGCGTGCGAATGTTGCAGCCACAATTAATGGGAAAGCGATCGTAGCGTCACAATGCACCTGCATTTCAAAAGGTTGAGGACTTGAGGTATCAAGATTATAGGTTTATAGTGCGACAAACATCCATGGTGTATGAGTTAACGATGCTCCAACTATCTCTTGGTATCATAATTTCTCGTTCAGATCTTCTATATCAGGCAAAGCAGAATCATGTCAACCATCATCGCATAAATCATTGAACAAAGTAAAATTGATGCATGCTTCAAAGCTAAAATGCATCAAAAGATATAGGTGCAATACAGAGCAAAACTGTGAAATGAATATAAGATGGATTAGAATTAGGATCTAGTCCAAGATCATTGATGCAATCTCTTTGGCATACCTTGTTCAAGCGAAGCTGACAAAAATGTTCATATATGCAGCATATGATGTTTAACAAAAGGCACTTTTAGCTAGCTAGGCGCACATCAAATATTAAAAATAATCATGTGAAAATTGCTCAAGGTACAGAAATATACCTTGACGGGTTTGGCTGAACCTTTAATCTTTCCCCATGAAACTGCTTCATCAGGTTGTGCTCCAGAATCACTGCCATCAAACTCTTGGGCTGTGTTGATATAGACTGCATAATCTGCACCATTGCGAAACATATTGGCGTTGCATATATGATGCTTGGGTAGACCTCCACCAAGAACTATGATCCCTGTCTTCCTTGGGGTTGCATGAATGGCTTCCCCATTCATCAATCTTATATCTGCCACATTTTCGAGCATAATATGAGAAAAAAAATTGAATGCAAAAGCAAGAAAACCAAGCACACAAACTTGCCTTGTACAATGTCAATAATTAGGCCAGGATTGCGGACTGCATGACAGAATAGCATGTCTCCAAGCGATCCATCAGTCAATGCTGGGCAGTATACAGGAATATTGTTCTGATCAAGTTTTGGAAAGTCAGTACTATCTCGTTTCAGTCTTTTGATTAACAGATCATAACATTGCACTTGGGCATAAGAACTTAAAACCCACACAAGAATATCGAATATCGATGCTGGTTTACGTGTCGTATTCTCCACAGATGCTTAAAGTATATGGTCTATTGCAACATCATGAGAGAGAAAAAAAACAAGTGTCTTGACCAAATCCACTCAACTATAAGTCTATAACTCATTCTAAAAAGTCAAATAAAGGTTAAAATTTGGATATCATGTACATTATATCAACATCAATAAGCAAAACATCAAGATATAGGATGGCGGTGCACTAGTTCCAGGAGGAAAATATGTTCCCATGGCATTATTGTGAAGAGTTCACAGCTACACAACATTAAATACAGACAAAAAATAACTCAAATATTTTTTCAAGGAACAAAGAAAAATTTTGAATCAGACTACCTAGTATCTCATTGTGTACTAAGGATAGAGATGCATGGACTTTATAAACAGAATTGATGGTGTGGTCCCCCTCTTGTGCTATTATTTTGCACTTTGTAAGGATATTCAGGTGTAGTTAATAAACATGTGTTACCTTATACGCCCAATAAAGGTAGGAACTTTCATCATTTATTTCTTTGCCAAGACAAGCTATGACCTTCGATGGTGTCCAAACATTCTGCAGGTAAGTAAAATTGATCGTACTTCATGAACAGGAGAGAGAGCACAAAAGTAGTTGGAAGAGTTGCTTCTGAGAGAAAAGATGTATCTGATAATTGATAGTTGGAAAACAAGGGCACAGCAGTAAAGCTACAGAAATTCATAGTTGGTGTCCTCATATGTCAGTTTTATTTGGATTTGTGCGTGTATCATTACTAGGTTAATAAAACACGGACCAATTTGAAAGGGAGCTAATGAAGGCTGGTTCAAATAATGTGCATAGATCCTTTTTATTCCTGTAGCATTGAAATTCAACATATTTTAATTTATTATTTGGGAGTACTTGTGGGGCAGATTATAGCTGCTTTCCATTTAAGTTTTTTCTCTCATGTTTCTTATTTTTGAACATTCTGTACCATAATACTAGTGGAGTTCTAAGCACTCTAAGCTAGGTCATTTTATATTACTGCCCAATACATGATTCCTCCTCTATACAGCTAATGAATCATAAGCACATGTGCATTATATAGTGTTGAACACATTGCTGCAAGTTATCTGCGCTTCAGCCAGAAGAAAAATGTAACAGTACCTCAGTGGATTGCTCTTGTAGCATCTGATCAAAAAGTGGCATGATCCAGTTCTCAAACTTGCAATAGTTATCATTGGGAACCAAAAGATTTCCAATCCGATTCAATCCCTTTGACCGCAACAGTGTTCCAGGTAAAGAAAATTCTCCTCTATAAGTGGGAGCAAGACATTTGATGAGATCCTCCTCTATACCACCAGCAGTTGTAACAATAACATCCACCTAAATAACACATTTTTCAAGGGGGATTAGCTACATCATAGGGATAAGATATCAATGCTTTTGATAATGCTAGTATGTTACCAAAAGCATGTAAAACCATCTCTACCAAACCAGGTCATAAAAGGAAATTACAGCAACGCGATTCTCACCATGTGATGCTGAACTAGAAAACGGACTACATCTCGAATGCCAGAAGAGACAAGGTTTGAAGTGAATCCCAGGAATATTTTGCACTTTACAGATTCTCTATATGTAGGATCAAGCTCAGCTTCATCACAGTCCTCACGTGGCTTCTCGTGAGACAGCCTCCAATCTAACTTCAGTGCATTCAAGAACAGAATAGAAAGGGTTAGGGAGTATCAGAACATCTTAAAGGTGTTAAAAAATATCATGGAAATGTTAAAGTGGAAAATCGTGGAACACACATGTAAGATGGTAACAGAGAGTTTTTTTTCATAATTTTTCATCTGGATTACCTCCAGATCACTTACGAGGAAGTTCAAGTGTACATTTGGAGTTGTCCAATAAATTCACAATGTAAATAAGTAAATTTGGTAGCATTTTTTATACACCTACACCATTTCAAATTTGCTAACTGTTTCATCTGACAGGAATTATCGAGATAATCATCAGTAGAGTGTCAACCCTAGCATGAATAATAAGCTGCAAGTTTCCGATTTTATAGCAACCACATCTATCGCATCATTCAGCACATGACTTCACCTCTTCAGCTCCAATTACACCAACACAGCTACAGCAATGGGCCTCGTCTAAATTGCAATTCCTAAGAAACTCCAAGGATCTAGAAACACAACAATTTCAAGCTACAGTAACCCCCAAATCCGCTTCGCCTCCCTCACGGGCATGCAAAAGGCAGGAAGGCTGCAAAGGGTGCAGTAATTAGTAACGTACCATCTGGTTGACGACGTCGACGGCGTCGCCGAGGTTGGAGGCCTGGAATCCGGTGGTGGCGAGCGACGCGAGCAGCCCGGGGAGGCCGAGGCCGGCGTCGTTGAAGTCGGCGCCGGCGATCCTCGTGAACCGCCCCTCGTCGAGGGACTCCGAGGGCTTCAACACGATTGAGCGCACGCCCTCCAGCGCGTCCATGTCGCGCACTCCCCCTCCTCCTGCCCCCGCCATCGCCCACGAAGTCGGAGCCCGAGCCGCCGCCGCCGCCGCCGCGAGCTACTGTGAGCTTCGAATTGATTTTTTTTTTCCGAGAAAAAAAAAAGAATCAGATTCCGCGCGGCTGTAGTTTGGGTGGAGGTGTTGCTTTCAACGATGCAGATGGGCCGGGCTTTTCGTCGACCCAGCAGAGCGAGCCGGAGGGCAAGGAGAAAGACGGGGCGGCGGCGGCGGCGGCGCTGCCGCGCTTGGAGAAAGCGGGAGGCAAAGGCGGCGGAAGGTGAGGTGGGGGCGGCCGGCGGCGCCGCCACGCTGGGTCTGGGAGAAGGGGGGAGGGCGGCGACGCGACCGCGCAACATGGGCCACCGGGCGTCGATCCATGCTGGGCCATCAAATTTTGTGGCCCACGTGCATCCTGGCTTGGGCTAAGAATAACCATGGACCTTACATGGCCTAGCTATATGAACTAGGGGTATGAAGCTAAGGTTAGGTCTGACGGCCCAACATGGTTATGATCGTTTTTGCAGCAGGATGGAGGAGCTGAAAACCGAACATGCCTGAAATTTATCTCTTTTTTTCCTCTTCGATGAAGTCGGACTTGTGATTTGGTGGTAATATCATGCCCATAATGATAGGGATCGGTCGACCGGGTGGGGGAGCAAAAATCGGACGCTCCCCCCGCCCCCGCCCCCGCCCCCCGCACGGCCGCCCGTGCATGCCGCTGGGCCCACCACAGTCCCTGCCCCTACCTGCAACAAATCACCCACATATTTTGAAAACCCTCTATTAAGAGAATTTAGTTTATTTTTTGTTTTAAAAAAATATTTCATCTAGTGCACTCACAATGTTTCACTATGTATGGATCTAATGATGCAGTGAACTGAAATATTCCATTGCAACAAATCACCCACATATTTTGAAAACCCTCTATTAAGGGAATTCATTTTATTTTTTATTTCACCAAAAATGTTTCACCTAGTGTACTCACAATGTTTCACTATGTATGGATCTAATGTTGCAGTGAATTGAAACATTCTTTGTTATTTGCTGAAACATTGTTTTATATAAGGTGAAACAACACCCGATTTAAACGTGTGAAACATTTTCGATCTACTTAGTGAAACAACTCCGATATACCTGGTGGAACATCGTGCAACATTTAAAAATAATTCAATAATAAGCTAATTTTTTTGTCGGAATATATCCATGTGTGGTCTTGTTTTGAAACGAATTCAAATGGAGCAATCGGATCATGATTTGGATAAGTAATTTAAGAGAAAAAAAATAGTTTAAAGTAGTTTTGCACGTAAATCGGGAGCTGACGTCAGCGCCCGATTTTAATCTCCTCCCATCGGACGCCCGAGCCGGAGTCACGTCCATATCATGTTTATACATAATTTTTTTTATAAATGTATAAAATTTTTAGATCTAATTTTCATAGGTTAATTTTCACGTTTCCGCCGGATATTTTCCTTAAATTTGTATAAAAAGTATTATCACAATATCATAACTTATTAGATTTTACAAATTCATTTCTTACATAAAATTACATGTCAGAAGTTTATAAGTCTAACCAAATCTTGTTCTAATCAACAAAAAGTCGTCCACTGTCTGTAGCGTACACCCTACGTCCAAAAAAAATCAATTCTAGCTATCTACGTGAACAAGTGCATGTCTAGATTCATAGCTAAGATTCGTTTTGCACTATTCATTTCCAACGTTTGACCGTTCGTCTTATTTGAAAAATTTTTATGATTACTATTTTTATTGTTATTAGATGATAAAACATGAATAGTATTTTATGTGTGACTAATTTTTTTAAAATTTTTCATAAATTTTTCAAATAAGACGGATGGTCAAACGTTGGACACGGATTTCCACAGCTGCACTTATTTTGAGACGGATGTAGTACTTCCTTAGCCGTTGGATCAAGTATGCATCGCACGCCTGATGATTAAACATGTTCTTTTCCAATTAATTAAGATATATTTTAACTTTGTTTTCATTGGCATGTTTTTTCAAACTACTAAATAGTGTATTTTGCATGAAATCTTTGTATATGAAAGTTGCTTTAAAATATTAGATAAATATATTTTCAAGTTTATAATAATTAAAAATAAAATAATTATATGCTAATTGTTTTCTTGTTTCTCGTACCCTAACCTCATCAACAGTAGAAATAAACAACAAACCATTCAGGTTTCCGTCATGATATGATTAGTCTATTCTCAAGCTAGTGTTGTAATAGTGTATACTATGCTCTTCATATAAAAAAGAATAAGTTTTTAGGATGAAAATCTGGATAATCATATATTCATTCATAGAAATTAGTTTTTTTTTCCTTTTTAAGAACGGAGAGACTATGCTGTAGTACATTATAGTATGGCAAATTGGCAATGGTTGTGAACATGCATGCGCTTTCGTAGAGATTGTATAGGAGTATGTGATAGGGTCCAATAAACTCACATTTCCGGCCCAACTTCAAGTCAAACCCAAGCATACCCGTAATAGCACCATTCAGAAAACTGTGACTGATCGACCGTCCCCTGTCAGAATCGACAAATGCATAATCTGAGCACATTTGCACAGTTGCACCCACCCCGCGTGTGTGTGAAACTTACCATTGTTCACAATTTCACATCACATGTTAAGTAGTACCTCTGATGTTGACTCACAAGTCTGAACTGATTGACAATGTGGTGCGTCCGCCATACCTGGGACGTGTACGCTTGGCATGCGACACACTAGCTAGCCAAAGTAGTAGTCGTACATTCTGAGTGAACACGTTTGTTCGACGATGTTGGATACTCCCTTTCACCTTTCACCTTACACCTTCCCATTCAGTTATAGTAGTATACCAGTATCTTTCTCGATCACATTACGTCTTCCCTAAAGATGTTTAGGAGTACTCCCTCTGCTCGAAAAGACTAACTTTTGAAAATAAATTTTTGGTTTTTCCACCGTAAAATAATCTCGGAAAATTAAACAGGGTATACTCTTGCCGATCCATGCAGATGCAAGCAGGGTAGTAGTAGTATTCAACTAGAGTACTCGCTAGCTAGCCACCTGAATCATGTCATCCTCCCGTCGAGGCATCGCTCTCTCGGCGGAGTGGTGAGATAGATGAGGTCAACATCTGCAACGCTGTCCACCACTAACACCGTACCCTGTGCATGGCCAAGCTAAGCTTGGACGGCGCGCGTTACAGTATGCATGCAGCGTGCGTTCCGCAGTTCATCATCTCTGCATGCTAGGCCGAAAAGGACCCCTGATCTAACGTGTATATATTCATGTAGCAGTAGAAGTCTAACAACAAACCAGCATGGTAAAAATAAACCTGCTGTTAGCTAATTAAGCATCCGGATTGCATCTGGTGCTGTGAAAAATGCAGAGGTATAAAGTGCAGGGGACCTGGGAGCTAGGGAGGGGGAGTCCAGGAGCAGTAGAAACGGCCAGGGTGGGGGTGGGGGCAAGGAAACCGGTTGCAGGAAGGCGTACAGGAGGTTGATATGCTGCTCCACTGCCGGTGAATTGGGTTCCAGGTCGCAAGCAGCTGGCCGAGGACGACGCCAGCCAAGCCCTGCCCCGTCTGCACTGCAGCCTCTCTCTCCCCTTTTGTTGAATTGATCAAGCAGGAACAAGTGACGAGACCGCTCCCGATTTCACGCACCGATCCTCGTGGCGCGCCCGCCGCCGGCAACAATCCCGAACGGGGGACCACTCACTCGCAACCTCCATTCCTTCACGTTTACGTTTACACCGTAGCAGCACGTACGGGCAAATGCCAAGCAGGCCAACCAAAGAGATGGCTCGGACTAAACTGTAATGTACTTCCTTCGTTCATTAAAAAAAAACTAACTTCCACACGTAAAATTAGATAGATACTCATCCAGATTTATTTTCAGAAATTGATTATTTTCAGAGTAACTACGAATCATCACTTGAACAACGTCACGTATGGCTCGACAATTAATGGGAGGTTTTAGCCGGATTCCGGGGAGCAAATCCTACCACATGTTGAGGGGCAAATCTCGCAAATACCGCGCGACGGCATGGGCGATGATGGACGATCGACGCCGCAGCCGGCCAAAATCATGTCGAGCCCGAGTCCGAACCCAATGGGTCGCACTGCACACGGTCCCCCACACGGGCGGGTGGGATGGAGACCGGAGGCGAAGGGGAACGAGACTGTGGGTGGGGGGGGGGCCACTAGTCAGCGACGGTGAAATATATCATGAACAGCGCGGAGAGGTCCATCGCCTCGTCACCCAACGATGCTATTCCGAGCTTTAACCTCGAGTTAATGACGACCCCCCAGGCGTCCACGTCACGTCCTTGTCCGTCATTAGTACACCTTTTTCATGTCACTGTGGCCAAGTGGCCAACCTGATCGATGCCAAACAAGTATCCATCCAATCCAACAGTACTAATGTTGCAATTTGTGGTGTCTCCCTCCAGAAAAATCCCACGTAAACCTAGAGACCTATCCGGAAGAAGCCAAACGAAAAATAATTTATAAATAAAACTTTTATATATATATATATATATATATATATATATATATATATATATATATATATATATATATATATATATATATATATGACACTCATATGGGGCACCATGGTGCCCGGGCACCATGGTATCTAATGCACAAAATCACTCAAATTTTTCAAAATTTTTAAATTGTGAGTATATACCTAATTATAATAATTTGATTCATACCTATACTTATCAACAAAACAACTCAAATTTAACTTTATTTCACAATCCATGATTACATACCTAACTAATTATATGTATGGATGCTATATACCTAGAATCAAAATCTAACAAAAACAAGTTCAAATTCAGTTCAAACTTGCTTTAAACTAGTTAGTAAAGTAGTTAATGTTAATACCTAAGTAATTGAAAAAGTTTCATACTCATTTGAATTGGGTATATACTCAATTTCAACAATGGTGCCCGGGCACCATGGAGCACCAAACAAATTTACTATATATATATATATATATATATATATATATATATATATATATATATATATATATATATATATATATATATATATATATATATATATATATATATATATATATATGTACGTATGTATGTTCGTTCTTAGCGATCTAAAAGCAAAGGCTGAAAAATAAACTTCGATAAAAAACCCTCAAAATTAACTCCAAATTTAAAGTTGAAAACGCTGGAGGCGGCCGAGGGTTGCCGGATGGTCGCTCCACGCAGGAACGACGACGGGGACGACGACGACAGAGCTGGTTGCGCCCCACGACGCCGATCTTGGCGTGCGGCTCTCCTGGGC